AAGGCCAAATGGCTGTGCAGGAAGTTATGGCATCCTTGGTGCCCTCGGAGCATCTCGGTACCAATAAAACCTCTCACTGACACTGGCCCTCAAGGCTCATTTAGCTTGTATTACCTGAAACACGAGGTGACTCAGAAAATACTGCCCGTGATTTACTGAAACTCTAGTCTAACGGCATCAAGGTTTAAACCTGGGGCAGTCTGATCCTTATTTTGTGTTGTTTATATAATATGTTTGCTTTCCCTGATGCATTTGTTCCAGTTATTGACCAGCACATGCATTTTACAACTCGGTGACAGGAGTGTTTCTATCACACTTCACACTGTAACAATATAATAGTGCTATTCACAGGAGTCACTAACCAAACACACGTCATACTTGAACATATTCTTCTTTAACACCTTTACTCTATTCTCTCTCTCTCTTTGCACATGTTCCCTGTGGTGTGAAATCAACTCATCCAGCAGGTTTTTTTTTTCCCCTTCACAATATAGTTCACAGGAATGACTGCCTTTATTACTTTCACAGTACAGAACAGGAAAAGTACTGATTGCTTTGATTAAACTTAGATGGGGTGTTTCAATTTGGTGCAATGGTTCAGTATTAACATGAGAAAAAAAATCATTAACTTTCTGCACCATGTCTTCCGATGTTTCCACAATTGTCTACTTCTCCAGACTAACGAACACTGCATAAATAGCCTGGGATTCTAACTATGTGACCTAATAGTTAGCCTCAGTACAACTTTTTAATGACATATACTTGAAATGTTCAAGTTTGTAAAAGTGGAAACTCAAGGAAGGAACTAGATGGAACAAAAAGCCTCGCTAAACCCCAGCTTAGAGGTTGTTAAGCTCCTGCAGTGAAAAGGGCAAATAGTCACTGTGTGTGTGCATCTGATTGTATGCAGAGAGGGAAAAAAAATCAAATGCCAGAACAACTGCTTCATGTTTGATCAGAAGTGAAGTGGAGCAACATAACGACTCCTCATGCCTTTTCCCAGTGTGTTCCAAAACAACCTACGTACATTATATGAATCTTTAAAACAATCACATCTGTAAGGGCTGTTTCAGTTTAAGGGCCTGATATTTTCTAAAATGACAGTTTAAAAGTTGCAAATTTCACATGCAGTTTTCTCATCCTTCAATTTTTAAACCAGGAGCCCTTCCACATCAATGAACCGAATATCACTGAGCAAAAAAAGCTGCATGTAATTTTTCACTCCAAGGACTTTTTTTCAGCTTTTTGCCAGCGTCAAAAATACGAGCGCAATTGTGACACAGTTTGCTGGAATTTTGCGACACTGTTTTACCATGAATGCGTGGTACTGGTCAGCTAAACCTATTTGTTTTATTTATTAGGGCAGACACACACCAAGCCCACATGAAAGAACTAACAGTGATATAAGCCGACTGTCTAGGCGTCTCCTCATGTTGCTTTTGTCTGGGCCAGCTGGGTTGAAAAAGTGACACTTGAACCCACTGCACAGACTACAGCTAACAGCCACCTAGCTCGTACGCCCTGAGCCCATGTGAGATAAGTAACTTCCCCTACCAGCAGGTGGCGGTATATCTTTGCCTTTCAGGAAGGGAAAGAAGAAGAGCTGATATTTAAGCTGTAAACAAAACACCTCTCATTCAACACGGCTGGAGTTTTCTCTCCACTACAACCTCCATAAATGTTAAACCTGCTTCTGCATGCATACTTATAGACTTTAAGTACTGGATCACCTCATTGCAAAGTGATCTCTCTCAAAACTAATGTATTTGTTGACCTTAAAGCACAAAAACTATTTAACTTGTAATTTTACAGAAATGTTTGAAATGTACCTTTTCTTTGTTCAGGGAGGCTTTTTTTTATTGATTCTCTGTATCAACCCAGCTCATGGACACAGTATGCATTTTCTTTCTTGACATTTCTAAAGTTCAGTTGCAATCTATCTTCTGTCTCTTTCTATTTGCAGCTTAATTAATCCCTTTCAGTGAGAAGGTCCTTCAAAGATTCATTTTTCATGTTCACTTAATTCCTCTTCCCTTTGTGTTTTATTCACTCTTTACAGTACGAGTCTGTCATGCACACATTTTTCTCTCCTCTCTCTCCTCTCTCTCTCTCTCTCTCTCTCTCTATCTCAATTGAATGATACTAGCTGATCTGTTTCTGATTAATAGCCAAGTGGCCTTTCAGGAAACATAATGAGTTTCTCCAGCTGAAGAGTGTGTGTGTGTGTGTGTGTGTGTGTGTGTGTGTGTGTGTGTGTGTGTGTGTGTGTGTGTGTGTGTGTGTGTTGAGTGGTTATACATCCGTGTTTGAAACTGTATATCTCTTTTTCTTTTAAAAGTACAATGAGAAACACTCAGCTTTCATCACCTTGCTTATTGACTAACGTTTTCTCCTCTATACTTCCACCAACTTCACCTCCATGCTAACTTCCCTTCTCCCTACATCCTTCCTTTTCTCCCTGCATAGTTAAAGGTGCAGCATGTGACATTTAGTGACATCTCGTGGTGAGTTTGCAGATTGCAACACTCTTCATGCTTTGTGTTAAACAGCCTCAAAGCAGTGTAGCGGAAATGAGTGAGCATGTTATTAGTTTCATGAACATTAATGCATCACATTAATGAAACTTCAGGCTTTGGAATCATCTCTGTGGGAAAACGATACTAAGGATGAGCAGAAAACAGGCAACTTCTGCATCATTCTGGAAACATTTGTTCCTCGTCAAGGATTTCCACCTGGGAAAGGCCACAACAGTGTTTATCCTGTTTCTTTGATGACAGGGATTCACACGGGGATTCTTCCTTTTTCTTGTGTTAAAGTATAACTATGATCCTCCATTTCTTCAAATTATAGTTCTTGACTCATGACAATGCTTCCTCTTGTTTCTGTTACTTCTTCTTTGTCTTCAAAGCATCTCCAAATCCAAGCTGCTATGTCAGTGTGAAACCATGAAATTCATGGTCTAGAGCCAGTGTGTGGTTTGTCTTTTCTGAGCTACTGTAAAAAACATGGTGGCCTCCATGATATGGGGCCCTATGTAAGTAGGAATATAGATAAGAAGATACCTATGTAGGTAGGAAGGCTCAATCTGAGCTAAGGAAAATGCAACAATTCTTATTTTCTGCTGGTTAGACATTAATGAAAACAATTATACATACTATGGCCTATTTCTGCTAATAACTCTTTCTAAATATTACACACCGCACCGTTAAGTAAACAGATTGTACAGTGAGACACCAGCTACATGACCTTAAAAGCACTAATTAAATAATATGTCTCTGTCAAATTAGTTGGGAGATCACAGTTGAAGAAATCTGTAGCTGTTATTTCGCCTTATTAAGATGCTTGCTATTATTTTCCAGTCCTTCTTTCCTTGCTATTGCTTCCTTTCTCTGTTGTTCCCTTGCTGCTTCCCTTTTTTTGTTCTTCTTTGCCTTTCCACACTATAACAGTCTTGCTTTCCTGTGCCCTTCCGTTTCTCTTTCTGTCCTTTGAGCTTTTCCATGTCCCTCCCTGCTTTATTAATTTGTCATTTCTTAACTATTTATCTTTCTCTTTCAGAATCTTACCTTTCTTCTTTAAATCTTATTTCTGTTGCTTCCCACCCCACTTCTTCTTTTTTCCTTCTTTTAAAATGCAATAGCAGTATAACCCTGTTCATGATTTTTTCTTTTTTTCCCGGTGCAGTCGTTCCCTCACATCCATTTATGTCTCTCTGGTTTTGTCATCATCTATCATTTAGTATATCCTTTGAATTTTTTGGGTTCTCTCACTTTCTCTTTTCTCTCTGTCTGTCTCGTTCTTTGCGACACCCAAAGGTTCGTCTCTTCCTCTTTGGCTTCATGTGCGGCCGAGTGCATACTGTATATAATCTTGAGTCTCTTGACTGATTTAAAGAAGGCTCTGTTCTGCTCTGCATTGTGTCTCAGAGCGAACACGCTGTGATCTGTTATCTGTCTGTTCCATTTTGCGTGCTGCATTGTAATGCTTTTGACACACTGACGTGCTCGCAAATACACTGATAGAGTGTACACACTCACAAATGCAGGAACAACCAGGTGTATATACAGAGCTGCACTTTCTTATGATCCCTAACAACAGCTGGGAGAATGTCTTTGAGCTACGAGAGCACTCATGCATCCACTCACACACGCATACAGATGGAGGGATTAGCCTTCGTGGTATCACATTAGCAATGTGACTCTGTTAATGGGCTTTTACTTTATACAGCAGAGAATAAATTTGCTCCTTTGACTCCTTAAACACATTGAACATCTCTCTGGCACTTTGTCTCTGTTTCTCTTTCTCTGGTCCTGATTCACTCTTCTCACTCTCTTGGTGTTGTTTTTCTATTAAACTGCTGCACAAATTACTTTCTGAATTTGAAATATGAATCAGTGTTTTCAGCTACCTTAATGTGAATACACAGTATTCAGTAAGGCACACCAGGATTACATAATTTTAATGGCTGTTTATGCCTCTTGATATTTTGCTAACAGTGGCAGAGAAGCTGCTGGGAATTTGTAATTGAAAAATATACTACTCCATTAGTAGTGAAGATACATAAACACATTTTTTTCTTCTCCTTTTTTCTGTGAAAGGGTTTTTTGGGGGAGAAGATTTTCAAGTTCAAGGGTTTAAGGACAGACGCTGTCGTTTGCTGTACAGACTGTAAAGCTCCTTGAGGCAAATTTGTGATTTTTGATACTGGGTTAATTAAAAATTGACTTGACTTGACTGTGAATTATGCTAGACACTATTCAGACACTGATCCTTAAAGAAATGTTTGCCATTTTGTGAAATACACTTGCTTTCTTGTTGAGAATTAGATGAGAAGGTCAGTGCTAAAAATGACTCCTACTGTACTTGTGTGTACAGTAGGAGTCACTGTGGTATCATGAGGTTTCCAGTCACTTCTATCTCACATTTAATGTGAAATGTGTCATAGAAAGAGCAACACAAGTCAAAGTCTCCTTTTTCCCTCCCTCCCTCTTTCTGTGCAGGCAGATGGATGATGCTGAGCCGTTGCTCTGGAGGTGTGGAGTGACAGGTGACAGAGGAATTGATGCGGCAGAGACAGGTCGCTGCTGCTGGTAAGAGAAAACAGCTGCAAAGGTCAGGCTCATCGATTGGGAGGCGAGGAGAAATAAGAGAACAGATTTACTGACACCAGGATGACAATGTTTCTAACGCGGTCTCTCTCGTTGAATTCAGTTTATTTTATTACAAAGCATAAACAAGGAACTCATTTTAGCAAATCAAACTCTAATAAAAACAATAACTAAGGTTATTCATCTTAGGGAAGCACCATGCAAAAACTAACAAATGTTATCCTTGTTGTCCCACATACCTTTAACCTTTAACTTTTGTCCTACAAAATAAAAGATGAGAAACTGAGAAATAAAGGGCATTGTTGTTAAAGAAATGGGCATTTAATCACTAAACAGCATTTATAGTCAATGGGCTTTATGCATATGAAATGTAGACCTGTAAATCTTATGTCTCAAACCGCAGTAGAAAAGAGCAATTAGTGCTGTTTGTAAGGCCGTTGAATAAGAAGAAATTCCTCCTGCCATCCTCCACTGTTTTATCTCTGAGCAGAAATGGCTTAAGCAAACATAAGTGCAGCAGCAATTTGTCCCTGTGGTGAAAAGAAAAGCGACATGTGTGCTTTAACTAGGCTTCGGTGGCATGCTCCTTTGTGAGTCTCCAGCTGGATCAGTGTAACTCTCTCCAGGAAATGGGGTGGAAAATGTTTTACAGTCACAACACCAATTATAGACTCAAGATGATGTGACTGGTTAGCTGAGACGTACACGCACTCGCTCTTTGGGCTGCATCTGATCTTTGGTTTGGAATTAATGAACTGTATGTTGTCGTGCCAACTTTAAGGCTAAAGTGAGATGATGACAGGGGAAAAGCTAATTATTGCTAGAATAACAAGTAAATGTCTTGTGGAGATGAGGGGTTGGTTTAATGTTTGGATGTTTGGAGTTTGTCCTTTTCTTCCGCTCACTCTTCTGTAACTCTGCCTCCCTCTCTTTATCTGTCCTTTTGTGTCCTCTCTTCTCAATCACTTTTCCTTTATCTCTCCGATCCTTTCTTCATCTAACCCTCTTACTCTTCCTCCTCTCCTCCCTGTTGATCCATCCCCTCGTCCTCCGCCTCTCCCTCCTCTTCCTACTGTGATGTATTGCTGCCTTATCAAGCTGGTTAACTGGCTCGCCTGCAGTGCTGTTTAGTTTCCTGTGAACTATGCTGATACTCTCCCTGAGAGGAGGCGATAGGAAGCAGCCTGTCTGTTATACACTGAGCAGTGCCCACACATCCCTACATGTGCGTGCACACACATACAAATCCTCATTGTCCTTATTTGAAGTTGTTCACACAGTTTTCTTGTGTTGCATTTTCATTTTTAGAGCACAGGTTCACTGACTTGCAGCTCTCACCTTCTTATAATGTTGTTTCCTATCATTTGGAATCATGCATACACAACAACCTCATTAATGACCTTAGTTTTAAGCAACCACACTACTATTTTATTGACTATGTGTTACACAAAGTCTTGTTTTTTCCAGCACAGACATAGCCAAGACAAATAATCAATAATTCCTGGTAGAATGTGTGGTTTGCAGTCTCCTTTAATCTACTGAGGGTGTAGATGTGTCTGACTACAAGGTGAGCTTCCTGTTTCTGGGAAAAAAGAAAAAAGATTTATCCTGGCTTTTCAGGGCTTGAGTAATGCCCCTGTTGGACTGAACTGAACTAGTGAGAACCTCTAGTGAGAGACTTTATAAAACTAGTGACCATATTATATACTTAACTATCCTCAAAGCTAATTTTTGAGTTATAGAAGATTGATAACACTGATGTCTGTGTGTTAAGAATGACTTAGCATAGCATATAAACCGGGGGCTTGGGGAGGAAACAACTTACCTGTGCAAAAATAATAGAGATGCACAGATCAATCGGCCAGAGATTGGAATTGGCCGGTTTAGAGCTTAATACAAACTGAAACACAAAAATGTATGGTTTTACAGGAAGTTGGCTTTTTCTAGCACAAAGTGTCTTTTTTTGGACATTCTTTAACTTCATAAGATTAAAAATTAAGCTTTTGAATGATATAAATGAATAATATACAATTTAAATTGTTTGATTCCTATAAAGAAAATGATTTTCTTCCATTAGTTTTCGTTATAGTCTTTCATACGACTGTAAAAAGACAGACAAGAAGAATGTCGAGTTGTGTTAATAAACAAGCAGATAGCGAAGTAACATTTTTTTTTTTTTTTACCTAAATAGGTTCACACACAATGAGATATAAAAACAAAATCACATTAAACAATGCAAATATTAACATGCCCACACAGAGTGAAGAAATGCAGAGCAGAGGTTTTATTATTGTGTTTATAGGAACACACACTCATTCTCCTCAGCCCATTCTATTCCTTCTGATACTATCATCAACTCAACACCCTCTAAACTATTTCAGCCGGCAGCCTGAGTCCATTTGGAGAAGTGTTGGCTTTTTATCTCGGCCCACACACACACACACACACCCATTCACTTTTCATTCTTAAACCTGCGCCCACACATTCTAAAAAAATGTCTCATCGGTTTTTGCAATCTTTCTTGCTGTTGTTGTATTATTTCTTGCAATTGCAGACATGCATGCTTATCCTTGAGCACATTTATGAGGTGCTAAATCACTAGGCCATCTGAGGGTTAAGGGTAAATACAGAGGACAGCCAGCATCTCTGCACACACGCACACACACACACACACTGTGATGCGAGCATGTAAACATCAGAGGTTTAGGTTTATTTTAAATAAATGTATAGTAGTGTTTTAAACTGTTAGCTGTTATGTCTTGCAAACAATTTGTTTTACAGACAATGTCTTATATGAGTCAGGATTTAAAGAAGCAAAAAGAGGAAGTTAGTGAGTAGCCATGAAGGAAAGCATTGGAGGATACAAATGGAATAAAAAATGGAGTAGGAATCCAAAGGTGGAACAAGGATGGAAAAGTCAATGCAATGATTTCAATGGATAGAAGGTAAATGGAAGGAAGGTTGGAAAGTCCGATGCTGAGGGCACTGGAAAGCAAGATTATACAAAGACAGACGGGAGTAGAGATCAAATTTGACTTGATTATGAATGATTACATGAATACAGTTTCTACAAACAGAAATGTAGAAACGATTGTTTCTTTTTTTTTTTACAGAACAACCTGATCCTCACCTCTGACCCAAAAGAAGAAAGGCCACCTTGGATACATCCAACTATACCAGTGAGATCTGCTAGAGGGGCAGAGACAGTGGGCACCAGCCATGGATAGTAACAATCCAGGTTTTAGCTCTAAAGTAGGGACACTCCCACTCTTCTACACGACACCAGAAGGTGGGTGTGACTGAACTCCATGAGGTGATACAGAACTTTTTGGCTCAGCCTACTCCTTGGGAACATGTCATCAATGCATTTTTTGGCAAGACATGGGAGATTCAACCTTCACTGAACAATTTGAGGCTGTTTACAGCTCGCAACACTTTACTGGATTACAGTATAAACCACAGAACACTTGTTCTAGCTAGTTTCTTCATAGCCCTTCTGCCCCCTTCCCTGTGATTCCCCATTCCCCAAGTTGCTCCCTGTTATCACCTCATCGACCAGATCCTGTTTTCATCAGTCTGTCCTCCTTTAATGTGTCCAGTTAGTTAAGAAGTTGAATAAGGGAGTCCACCCTCTTTGAACCTCAAATAGGATAAGGGTCTCTTTTTGTGATGGGAGGCTCAGCAAGGGTTCTCCTTGGTGGGTTTGGCACCACCACCTCCTCTCTCGAAGTTGGAGGTCGGATGGCTTGGCCAAGCAACAACCCCCTGGACTTCAACCAAACCCTGCCAGGGGGGAGTGTTGCAGGTGGAGGTGCGGCAGCCATGAGTGCAGGTCTGGACAATTTCACCCTTGAGTCTGTCACCAGGGCAGTGATCAAAGAGAAAAACTGGCCAGCCCTGCTTATACTTGTCATCATTGCACTGACAATTGGTGGCAACATCCTAGTGATTCTGGCGGTGTCACTGGAGAAGAAGCTCCAAAATGCCACCAACTTTTTCCTGAGGTCGCTGGCTGTGGCAGACATGCTCGTAGGCATCCTGGTCATGCCAATCTCCCTCATTAACATCCTCTATGGTGAGTAATGTGGACCCAGAAAACACTTAATCGTTTAAAATGGATTTTCTCACGTACTGTATTTGTAATGCGCTAGCCTCACAGACATTTTTAGATTTATTTGCCCAGGTGTTCAGATTTCAGCCTCTACCCCAAAACGCTGGAAGTGTATGGAATTTCATTTATGCTACTCACAGTACATGTAACATCGATATTTTACTCTGAACCAAAATGTCAGCTCCATGGTGTTACTGGAAGAAAAGCCAAGGTATCAGTCATCTGTCTTCTGGGAACCATGAATGCCTATACAAAGTTTTATGCCAATCCGTCAAGTGGATGTTGAGAGATTTCATTGGATGCAGGAAAGTTTGACCTGCAGTTGTCATGAGATGAAAAGTCAAGGGATCACTGCAGTCACTAGGATTCATCCCCTGGGGATCATGAATGTTTGTAAAAATTTCATGACAGCCCATCCAACAGATGTTGAGGTGTTGCAATCTGAACCAAACTGGTGAACCGACTGACGGATGCACATTGCATCCCCGGAGCCGCAACAGGCCAGCCCTCAGTTCAGTACAATAAGACGAGATGGTCCTATTTGCTATAAATACTTGTAGTTACTAATTTTTTCTGTATATTTTCACATCCTAATCATGAAAAGACACATACATGCCTATAAGTCTCACCCGGTATTTAAGCTACACTGCTGATTTCTACCCCGGATCTTGGGCCCCCACCCCCTCACCAGCTGTTGCCAGAACAATACGACATGTGCCCTGTCATTATTTCAACATTTATTTTAGCGTAATTATTGAAATGATTATTACTTCCCTGAGACATCACACAGTGTTATTTTGTGACTGATTCAAAAGCCGGAGCATGCCAACTTGATAATTGCAATATCGTACTGCTGTGTTTGCTTTCAATATCCATGCCAGGTTTCTTGAACACCCACATTGGCAGATTGGTGTATATCGTAGGCTGTGTACTGAATTTGTTTTCCATTTGTTGAGTTAAAAACATTATATTAAAGTAGGGCTGCCTTTTTGTTACATCTCAGTCAGGTCTTTACATGAAGGAGAAGTACATTTCTTACTGTGTAGATCTAAATGTCACCATCACTGAACTGATCACAGAGTAGATAATGGGAAAATCTTTTGCACGTACATTAACAGATGTTGGCCTTTGCAGTTTTCAATAGTCCCCATCGGCACCCACATTACTGACTTCTAAGAATTTTTTTTTTGACCTGAAGGGATGGATGTCATATCTGCATCTTATTTGGAGCCCATGTAAAAGCATTTTGATTAGGATTTCTGGGAATATCTTGCAACGGATAGGCCAAACAACAAGTATTTGGGGTGTGTGGTGTTGCCAGAACCTGTCTTCTGTTATCTGATTCATTTTATCACCTTTATGGAAAGTCAAGTTAGTGGAAAGTCCTTGTTTCTGTAGTTTAAGGCCACATTCTTTTCTTTTTTTTTAGCAGAGATATAAAGTTTATATGCTAAATGTTTTAGCAAATATTTACACATCAAGAAGACACAGTGCAATGTTAGCATTTTTAGATTATTAAGGTGGACAAACCCTCCACTGGTTTTATGAATAGCGGGTTTGAAGCTTAAGTCTGTCCGCTGCCATCTTGGCTTTACTCCACCTGCTATGGTTAATCCAAAAATGAATAAAGAGGTGGAGCATGAATGGACCTCGCTAGACAGCTAGTGGCCAGACACCTTTGGCAGGATAGTCCCACCTATCTCTCAAAGCAACCACGCCCTTAATAACGTGTAACTTTGTCTCAATATAATTTTAACAGGTGACTTATATAAAGCACAGTTGTCATGGAAGGGGAACTTAGTTATAGAGACCAAAACCGCTTTTTTGTACCAGACTGTACATGTTTATTTCTGCTGTAAAGTTGTTCATTTTAACATGGGAATCTTTGGAGACTGACTCGCTTTTAAGGCCAGCTTCAAATGGCCATGTGAAGAACTTCAGGGTTTAACACTTCAGCAGGTTGCTGCTTGGTTAGCATTCATTCCCTATAGGATCTTGTTTTTGGTGACCTAATGAATGTTTGGTATTCACTGAGAATTAACTATCTGTCTCTGTAGATTCTAAATGCTTCATTATGTCCACCAGCTAGTCTCAAACATTGCCTATCTGCAGAGTAGTGCTGGACAAATGGTAAAGAGTGGGCTTATCTAGGTAGGTGAACTCAGTTGTCTACTGTGGCAATGTGCTAAAAAGCTTTAGAAAGCTAAGAGAATCTGTAGAATTGGATGATAACTCTCTAGATCGTCACAACTGTATGAGAGACCTTTATATTGGTGAGTCTGGGCAAATCTTTCAGTCAAAGATGTGAAAAATATTTATTTTCACACATCCTCATATCTGTATTATTTTGATCCAGTATTTGTCTGAATTCTTTGGGACTGCAGAGGAGTGATGTGTGAGAACATCATGGTCTAGCTGACAGCAGAGACAGCCAAACATCAATACATTGACAAGACTATTATCATGACAGGCCAACAAATTTGGGGAAAAGATATTTAGGCTCAGTTGTCTCTAAAAGATTTCAAAATACTTTTTTGAGTAACTGTCATTGACATTCATGTGAGGAGTCTCCTTGGTTCTCAACTGATGTTGCGTGATTGTTTTTTGTTTTGTTTTGTTTTTTTTCAGAGAAAATATAGCTGAGCTTTTGTGCAAACAATGATTGTTTTGTGCTCATTACAATGGTTTTGTTCAGTTGGAGGATTTGATGGTTAAAAAAAAAAAAGAGCTGTATTCTAGTTATTATTCTCGATGTTATTCCTTGTCCAAACCTGGCTCCTACATCACCCACAATGCAACAGGTTGAACAGAGATTTAGGTGCGTTATTCTACTATTGGCTAATGGAACCTCTAGCTGCAAGCAGCGATGAGGAGCGGGCGTCAGAGGTCTGCTAACCTCACTTCTTTCTAACTCCACACTCCCAGATTTTTGTTGCTTTAAGGTTAATATAGTATTAAGTGTGTTTGGAGCTTTACCAATTCTAGGGTTTAACAATCAGGACATCCCAGCCTTTGCTACTTGCTACAGTTTTACTCACATTAATTCTTTATTCCTTCTTCTGTCTCCTTCCATTTTGCCCTGCAGCTTTTTTGTATCCTCAGCACAACTTGGCCAAACTTGCCATATTCATCTCTGTGCTTTGTAGCTGTCAGGCATCCTTGAGGCATACTAATCAGGACAGAGAAGGTTGATTGCTGCTCAATGGGCTGCGTATGGTCAATGGACACACTTGTTCACTCACCCCGTATCTGTCTGTTAGTTCGTGCTCCTGCTGTTGATTGCTCACTGCAGTAAACAATGTACACACAAACAAACAGACGCACAAAAAATAAACTGACAAATCTGTCTCTTTCTCTCCCTGTTTTGCAAACAGGTGCACATGCACCTCGAGACAAACAGTGTGTCTGTCATTTATATACACACCCATAAAGAAGTCCCTGCAAACACACCTGCAGCTGCTCACACAGTTGAATGGAGCTGGGATCTATACTTTCAGTGTCATCCATCAGACTTTATACTTGCATTGATCCCCACGGCTGGCTGGGTGATAAACCAGGCAAACACACACACACGAATGAAAACACACAAACACAGGCACATAATTAAATGTTGTTGGACAGTTAAATACACAGCAAATCCTTGGGAGGGTTAGTTTGAAGTTTTTTCAACAACCTTGTTTCTTATCAATGAGTTTTGAAATAGGTTTTCTTCAGTACAGTTCAATAGCAGCACCCTCTTGTGGGAGACATTCTTATGTCTTAGACTGGCTACAAAAGCAAAGACAATGTGCATCATCCCCTTCACTGTCTCCAACCTGAGTCATTGCGTGCTTTGCTTTTTTGTGTGTATATTTAACTGTCATCTATTTTCAATTTTTATTCATAGTAGAACTTTTTTTTTTTTTAGCTTGGGCACAAATAATATGGAGACAGTCACTATGCTACCGGTCAGTTCTCACACACACCTCCTAACTAGGTTGTAGTCAACAATTTTAGACCAGGCTGGGTCATTCAGCAGGTTTTCCGAATCCAGAATCCAAGCAAGCTGGCACATAAGCACAGCATTCCTGTCAGACTGGGACTAAAAGAAATTCTCAATAATGAATTATGTAGGTATAGGGTTTAGATGAGGAAGACAAATTTGTAAAATGAATAAGATAATATCTCTGGTTTTGCCACATCAGGTCTGATACAACAGTCCAGCAGTGTTAAAGAAGCATAGTGTCTGGAAAATGTTCTCCATCGCACAGATAATGTCTTCCATTTTATATTTCAACACTGATCCAACATCTGCCAGTGAATCTAAATATGACCTTGCCCCTAAAGACTGAGGGATATGCTTACATTTCAGATGAGTGCAATTTAAATTCATTTGACTTGTTTCCTTACTTGGCAATTTGTTTCCACTGTGATAAAGAATGCAAGTGATAATAAAACACTGATAATATATGAAGTGAGGAAGTGACACAAACAAGTCTAGAAGAATTGAATAAATCCCACCTCTGATCATAGTAAGCACATTAACACACACACATATATATACACGAAGGCTATTGTTCTGCATTGAGCACTGGTTGACTTAACTGGTTGGCAAGCCACACATTTACAACAATTTACACACACATTGATGTCAGACTTGACAGTGGATTAACAAGATGTGTCATCTCAATGAGAGAGAGAAATAGTGCAGAAAACTGAACACAGCTGAATTGTTTGGGGTGGTCAATGGCTTGCTGCCACGGTGCTCCACTAACCACAGACCAAATGATATTTAGAATATTTAAGAGAATAGTTACCCTAAAATAGTTACAGGCATGTTTGCAGTTTCATGATTTTAATGGACAAGAGATTAAAGTAATGACCCTACTTCCTAAGGAAACAAAATGTTAGCAGATCTACACTGTGTATATTTCGTTATAGACGCCGATCAACAAAGCCTTGAATCCCCCTTTTATTAGTATCTGATGTGCTGCCAGACAATATACTGATTCAACTGAAAACATATCTTATTAAAGAAGCAAGATGACCCCAGAATGCTGTTTCCTTGCCAGTCACTTCTTTTATAAATAGTGTTTAGCTGTAGCACTCAGAAGAGAGTCTCTCACTGTATTAAAAAGCAAACTCAGCTCACTTGCCAGCCAGCTGAATAACATCTTGTTTGTGTGTGCATGTCATGCATTGCCCCCAATAAGTGTTCGACCTCTGAAAAGTTATGAGCTGCCTCCTACTCGGCACGCACACAAACCAGGGATTCAAACTGCCTGCCTCATATACAGGGCTGCAGATTGCGAGTTATCAGTCACATTTTGCGCCCAAATAGATTTAAGGTCACACTGTGTGTGACTGCAAAACAAACTGTTTATGCAGGAATGACTGCTCTCACTGTGGAAATGGTGGACAGACTTAACAATCTCTGCAATACTGTCATCGTTGTGTTTATCTCCAGGTCTGTCATTCACTCGTCTCAGGATAAAGACTTCAGATCTATCAAATGTATCAATCCACACTGACTCAGAGACGCCCATCGTCCCTGCACTGCTTCTTTATGCTTCAAGTTTATTTTTTCCTTTGGTGCATTTGAAGTGTAATCACCACAGACAGCTGCTTAAATGAGGCAGATTGCCCGTTAGACTGTTTATGAGTTGGAAACTTTTTACTTGAATCACTTCTGATGGCTCAGGCTCTGGTTTTACTTTCCCCTCATTCTTTGTAGCAAGACGTGGAAATTAATAAATCCATACACATAAACGCTACTGACTTCTTGCTGATGAGCTTACATGAAGACTGTTTTGGTCCAGTACATTTCTACTGTCAGTCAGCCTGTATGAAGACCGTGCTGTTCTCCTGCTGACAGACAGCTGTTCTGATGAGAGACGCTGCACGGAGGCCAGAGTCAGTGTGGATTGAATGGATCAAAGTCACGCATACCTGCTGCTCACCTCTAGTCAGGTCCCAGTATGATGTTAGTAGTGGCTGAAACCCGCCATCAAGTTCTTCTTTAAGTAGTACTAAAAGCTACAAGTAACTTAAGCCCGAAAAAGAGCTGCACTTGCCGGGTGAGTGAGAGCTGAACTGTGCAAGAAGTCCAACAAAGACATCACCAAAAAGCAGAAATTCTTCTTCAGAAAAATAAATAAATCGTGAATATAAACAGCAAAGCATGCACGCAATTCATCGATTTGTGCTTCATTTGAAATGTAATAGGCTAATCATCAGCATAATTGCCATCACTATCATCATATTGACTGCTAGGCTATAGAGCACTAAAGTGACTACATAAAAAGAGCTGGACACTTGTTCCAGAAGTGATTTTCCCATTTATTGTGTTGTATAAGTCTCCCTGTCTCTGAATGTCATTATAAATACAGGCTATGTACATAGGATGGTAAGGTTATTTCAAATTATTTATGAAAAATACAGACTCTTTTGCATTATATTGTAAAACAGAGGCGGTGCCACCATCTGAGAGAATCAGTGGCTTGAGTGCCACCAATATGAAATGTGAATCTGGGGCCCTGCATGCTGCTTATCCTACAGATGTAATTAAGATGTATGTGTCTGGATGCCAGTCTTGTCTCTGCAAGGATGGCTTGTATACAGTAAATACTGTGGCTATAGGTGTTGAGAGAAGACAATGAGACAGACTTTGCAGCATATGCCTGCTTTAGAAAGCCCACACAGCTGCTAATGATACAGATGAGAGGTGCACGGATGCATGATCAGTGTCCCCTGATGTTCTTCAGTTGTATTTTACATTTCACTTTTTTTAATTATTCAAGATCTTCAGAGGAAACACAAACAAAAAAGAACTGTTCCAGGAGATTCTTCTTCACAAAATGATTGCAAACTTTGAGGCATCTTAAATCTTTTCATTTCTGTTTTATAGTCACAGTCTGTGCTGCATGTTATGAAGCAGAGTGTGACAATGAATATGAGCATACGTATATAATGCTGTGTTGATGCTTGGAGCTGTTTATCAGGATGCTGTGTAATTTCCTTTTGGCTTTCTTTTTGTTTCTGAAATATGTTCATTTCCACTCTGCATCTCACCTGCTTCTGCTGGGTAAATTGGTGCCAGGGTATCATTTTAGCCTGCTAAGCAGCAGGCACACTAATCAAGCTAATTAATTTTCTTCAGTTTAAGCAAAGGTTAACCTTAATGCTCTCCCAGCTGGCCTCTGCCAAGATGTTCCCAGATGTATCTCTGTTAGTTATTACAACAGCTCTGGCGTTATCCAAGGTGGCACACTGTCCCAATGCTGAGATGGTTGAGGCTGATTTTATTCCCTGTGACCCAAACTGTCCACCTTGCAAAGCAGTGAGGCAAAACACTGACTCATTACCAGCTCTACACGGTAGTGCATGGTCAAAGCTGTGAACTTTGGTCTTCCTGTAGAAGAGGAGAAAAAAAAGGAAGATCTCACCCTCAGGGATCAATAGATCATCACAAAAAAAGAGTCAGTTTTAGCTTCACAGACTGTAGAGTAGCTCTGATATTGGTCTCAGTGTTTCCTGCTGCGAGTTAAATAACCACTGTGCTCACAGATGAGAGAGACTTTTAGCCAGAGTAGCAGCATTTGCTTCCTCTCTGTCAGTCAGGCCAGAGTGACATATCTTAACAATGACCGAATTTACTGCCATGAAAACGTATACAGACGTTCATCATGCCCAGAGGATGAATCCCTATGATGGGATCATTAGGATTCCCTGAATCGAATCTGGATTTTTTTCTCACAGGGCATACATTCATACAGTATGCACTGTGGTCCTGTACAGAAACAACCACCTTCTTTTATAAATAGCATCTAAACTAGAGCTTTACCTTCCTATTGGTAATATTTATATGCAAAATAATAATTCAGTAATAAACCTCTGCAGCTGTAGAGAACTGTCCATGTAGACACCTTTGTCTGATTAACCTATCCCATAATAAACTATTCTATCAAACTCTCCCCTTAGCCTGATTTCTCAGGGGAACTGGTGTGCTGTGCTTTGATGTACTCTAATTAATTAAAGTTTAGTCAGCCTCTCTATGCTGCATCGTAAGTCTCCATAGCCTACTGATGCTGGTTCACTCAGCCAGGCCCTTAGAACAGATGGAACATACTACATCACTGCTTTCAAAGTCAACCCAATCAACTGCAGTGGGGAAAGAAGAAACTGCAGGCAGATCATTTTCACATCCCTCTTTCTGTTCCTCCAGACTATGCCTGGCCTCTCCCCAGCGCTCTGTGTCCAATCTGGATCTACCTGGACGTGTTGTTCTCCACCGCCTCCATCATGCACCTGTGCGCCATCTCTCTGGACCGATACGTCGCCATCCGCAACCCCATAGAGCACAGCCGCTTCAACTCCAGAACCAAAGCCATGATGAAGATCGCCGCTGTCTGGACCATATCTATAGGTCAGAATGCATGACATACTGTATATACAATTTAACCTTTGCTAAACTTGGCCTCTTGCTTGCATGCGTCTACTAGCAGGCGCTGCTAAATTTAAAACATGTTTCTATAGAGGAGGTTTTCTGATTCCTAAATGCAAAATAACATTCAGGTTATAAGCATAATCCAGGAAATTATCAATTGAAATGAAATAATATTATAATACATTTTATTTATAAGCCATGTTTCATGATACTCAAACATGCATTACATTCTATTGTACAGCGTTCCTGTTAATTTGTCCATCCCCCTTATAGACCCACATAGATATTTAGTTGACTGACAACAGTTATTAAATTTTGGAATGACTTTTTGGGATCCTGTGGTAATTTCTGCAAAGGTCCTGATAGCAAACCTATGGGCTTTCTGGGAACACTGTCAGTTTGTTTATGCTCAAAGCATCTTGCAGTTCATTGTTACAGTTAGAACCTGTTTGCCTCACATACTTGTCTAATCCCCAGTGGTGATCACAAAACGTTTCATATCTAACTTTATCTGTAGGAAAGAAAATGCCATGCAAATTAATGAATTATGAAAATGTATGGCAACTGTTATCAGTAGCAAATGGATACTATTTATGGAAAAGAGTTAGACTGTACACACACAGGAGGTGCATGCGAAAAAAATAGAATCTATATGCAATGGTAACCTGACTGTTTTCTGAGTAAATAACCAATTCTGTGAATCAGATACAAATATTGTAAAGATGCAGATAGTGCCCTGCAGCTCTGCTGGTACACGAGAAGCACATCATCCACCTCAGTCTTGCGATTGCGTTTGCAGATACTCTAAGCTGTTTCTCATTTCCTCTTGAAGCTTCAAGTGAGCAAAATACGAAACTGCCTTTAAGACACAATAACTGATTGGAACAAATTATTATAAGCATTTACAGAAATCTACAGGAACCACAACAAAATAATCTTGCCACGAGGTCTGTTTACAGAAGCAGGCGTTCTGCAGCATCACGTCATGTCACGTCACATGATCTTCATCAGCAGATGGAGTTTGCCATGGAACCTTAGCTACTGAGCACTTTAAGGACATCTCTTTCCTTAGTTTAAAAGTTGATCTTCTGTAAAGATCATGTTAAATGAGGGAAGATACATCACTAATAGTTTCTTTTTTTGTCCTGTTTCAAACCTCGGGTCACTTTGGTCTTTCTTCTCTTTCAATGTTTCCTTGTTCAGTCTTTTCAGCTGTATAGTAGCCTGAAGCAATCAGTTTGTTGTGTGTGTGTATGTGCGTCTTTGGGGGACGACACACCTCCCTCTGAGGAGAGAATCTAACTACAGATCTATCTGTCAGATTTCTGTTTTGGATAAAAGTTAATTTTACATTGGTGTTGCCTGAAAGGCTGAGCTGATGTGAACATCTTTTCCGAGCCACTGTTCCTACATAATCAACAATATGATGTGATGCATTAGCTGTGCGAGTACTGGTTACTGACGGTAAATAATCATAAAATCTTTCCAAATAACCCCTGGTCACTGCATGTGTACCTGCTGTAGTACAAGTATAATAGAAGTGTTTTTCTTTGTGCTTTTTACACTGTTGTGTAGCTTAAAATATCCACCCCTGAAAGCGACTGAGTGCTCCAGCTGGACTCATCATTACTGACATATTTTCCTCTGAAGGCCATTTTCTGCAGCTGTTGTAAAGCTGCTTTGCAGTGAGAGGTTGTTTTTTTTTTATGAAAGCAGCATTGACAGATGGAGATAATTGACACCTCCAGATACCAGGTACTTTATTCCAATTTCCTTGACCCTTCAAGAGGGTCTACACCACAACATTCAGTCATCGCTGACATCTGAGAGGGCTTGGAGTGATCAATGCTAAAGGATTAGCAATGTTCCACCCAACAGAACATGTATTAATACACCATGACAAGATTTTCTGCCTCTTTTTCCCCACTTCTCCCTCCATTTCCTCTTCAGACCACTTACTGTAGAAGTGATGCATCAGTTCTCAGCTAAAGTCTTGATAAACACACAACAGTTTCCTCCTTTGTGACAAATCTGTTTTGGCCACATTTGGTAAATCTCACACATTTACAGAGATATAGATGTAGATAAAAGTGAACGAAAGGAGGAGTCTGGTTAGAAATATAATTTAATGTCACACCCCAGAACCGAGACAGTACTGCTGTGCTCAGCATAAGGAAAACCACACTTCACAATCTACTGCGCTTACTAAAGCCACAATTTTTCTGCAAAGGAAGGTCAAAATATAAGTTTGTGGTGATAAAAAAAAATAAGACCCATCTCTGGACCCTATCTCTAATAATTTGTGCACAGCCCCCAACCTGTAAATTTCACTGCGGCTATAAACAAACATTTATAGCCACTATCTGGCCTCAAAACCACATTAGCTGTGTTGATCATGTATATTAAATGTGCAAGAATTCCTTTTTGGAGTTATCAGTGTAGAAGCAAACATAAACAAAGGGATGCGAGAATGACAGTCTCGGTAAAGAAAAGTCCATGTTCTCTAACGTTCTGTTTGCTGTGAGAAATCACTTTCCACAGATCAAGTTGACTGATGCCTACAGATACCAGGTAGAATTTTACTTCCTTCTCTCTTCTTGTGTATTCCTTCACAGCTGACTGCTTTAGAATAACAACAAATCCCCTGTTTTCCTTTCGGCATTTCCTTGCCACCTATACAGGTTTGGCACTGCTATACGTGCTACTGTGATTGAGGTCTGAGGACTTGACAGCGATCAGTGCTGAAGGATTAACGACAAAACATCCAAGAAGAAGACCTTTGTGGCCATTTTCCCTGTACACTTTCTATGACTTAGAGGTTGTTTCAATCCATATGGGCTTGTAGGTCCAGTATAACTTTTAATAATATATTACAAAAATTATACTGACTTCATCACAGTGGCCACTTGTTCCTCCAAATCTCTAAAGTGTAGCTCTGCTTACCACTGATCCTTGGAAACTTACAGCTGTAGCTTTGAAATGGCACTCAATGTACTTTTTTATACTTTATTTGCATTGGTTTCTAATTTTTAAATTGCATAATAAAATATGTTAAAAAATAAAATGCTTTGGAATCAAACAGGCTAATATTTTAGAAAATAATAAACCGCTTATGGAACACTTTTTCTAAAACTAGCTACAAAACAAACCATACGTTAAAAAACAAACAAAAGGAAAAATGTATAGCATAAATAAAAGACATTAGTGTCCAGATAGAATAATAGTGGGTTAGTGTGTGTGTGTGTGTGCTCTTGACTTACATGTTGAATGGTGCAGCATATGTTCACTTGAAACTAAATAGTTTCCGCTTTTATCCATGACCCCAAACTAAACAACCTTGCTCTTCATTCACACACAGATACAGTGTATTCCCAGCTTGGATGCTATCAATATTTAGCTAGACACCTTGACCACACTGGTCACTGATAGAATTGTGTTTGATTTTGGAGAGGCCAAAATGTTTTGCTGTACTTTTTATAGTCTCTAACAACTATACTGTGTAAAGTGCTCAATAAAATCTTCCCCTCCATCTCTCCCTGTTATTCTGATCCAACTTCTTTTCTAGTTCCAGGATTCCCTTCTTAACTTTTTATGAGCTGTAAAGCATGAACATTTATTTCCTTACTTACTCAGGCATATAGATTTCTGCTGGCACCTGGGTTCACATACAGTAGGTGTTTGGCCCTCAGTCACTCAGGGAACCATTTTTAGAGCAGCTACCTCTGGTCTCCCTATGCAGCTACAATAATCTTCCTCCAGCAGCCCAGCCGCTGTAGCCGAGCCACGCTACAATCTTCCATGGAGCGAGTGTGTCTGCTTACCAAACTATTGTGTCTGTTGTGGGTGAGTAGCTGTGGCTTGAGCAGATAACTGTTATCACCTGAGGGAGTGAAATCTGCTACATTTGAGAAAGGTTTAAACAGCTTAGAGCCAACTTGTGACTTTAAAAATTCATATTGTAAACAACATCATAAGCCCATAAACTACAACTACAAAAAATGTATTTTCATACAAACAGTGGCGGGAAATAGTGAGTGAACCATTTGGGATTACCTGGTTGTTGTTGTTTTTTTTTTGTTTTTTTTACTTGTTTTGGTCACAAAATGTGTTCTGAAAGAAAGTCTGCTATTTGGAGCGTCCCAGTCAGAGCCCAGACCTCAACTCAGCATCCTAGGAATATGTCTGAGCTGAAGCAGCTTTGTGAGGAAGAATGGTCCAGAAATCCTGGACATTATGCAGGTTTAATCCACAGCTACATTTTTTCCAAAAAGTCCCCGTCGAGAAATCAAAGACTTCAGTGGGATGAGATTTCACTGGGACTTTCTACTAATGGATTAGTCCCTATTAGTTCTAGTCCCTTCACTATTTCTGGAAACTATCTGCAATGCAATATGCTACATTTCATTGAATTCAGCCTTTTAACGTCTCCTCCGTGCACTGTTTGAAACAGTCTGATTGAATCCCAATTCCACCCATACTGGCGGATAAACTCGCTGGTCAGAACTATTTGCACATCACAGGTTATTTGGTAAAATATTTAAAATGAATGCAAACAGATTCATGACCCAGCTCAGTAAGCACGTGTTCGGTTGATTGCATTGCATCACATTAGGAGAGCTGCCACTGTTCCGAATAGCATTGTGATGTTGGCCTAGTCGCCAGATGTGCAAGAGAAAATTATGTACCCTGCACTTAAATGAATTACACCAGCTCACCTTGTGGCCTTGACACAACTCCAGGTTTTCACAGCTCTCACATTCCTTTTCTCACTCTGTCTTTCCTCCAAAACAGAGCCGAGGTCACGCTTTCAACAGAAAAGCTCTTTGAAATCAGAAGCAGCGCATTAACGTTATTATCACAGGTCAGAAAATCGGCTCACCCTCGAAAGCCTGGTCACCTCAGCATCCTCTAACAGATTCCAAGCAGCTGTTATATTGCTATAAACATCCATTACACACTGACAGATATTATTATACACAGATTATATTATTAACACCAATAGCAGACTGATTTGTAACAGGTATAGCATGCATGGTATCAGTATGACAATGGTTAAATGGGTAATTGAGGGGATATGCAAACCACTAACTCATGTTTTTAACATGTCGTTTCGACTTGGGCAGTTCCCCAACAATATGAAAATAGCAAAGGTTATCCCTCTGTATAAATCTGGGGATAAGCACAACTTCACAAATTATAGACCGGTTGTCACAGTTTTCAAAAATCTTGGAAAAACTCTTTAATAACAGATTAGACACATTTATTGATAGACATAAAATCCTCTCAGATTGCCAATATGGTTTTAGGTCGAACCGATCGACATCTCTAGAAGTTATTTGACACAGAGGCGTCAATTTGTGAAGTTGGGTGAATACCAATCGAGTGAGCTGGACATTGTATGTGGAGTGCCTCAGGGTTCTGTTTTGGGACCTAAATTATTTATATTATACATTAATGATATATGCAAGGTTTCTGATTTAGTGAAAGTGGTTTTGTTTGCTGATGATACTACCATTTGGGCATCTGATGAAAACCTACAGCAACTCTCTGGATGGGTTTCACAGGAACTTGAGAAGATAAAGAAATGGTGTGATAGTAATATACTATCTCTGAATATGGATAAAACTAAATTTATGGTATTTGGGAATCGTAGACTAGATAATGAACTTCAATTGAAAATTGGGGGAGCTAATATCGAAAGAGTACATGAAATTAAATTTCTAGGTGTCATAGTTGATAACAAATTCTCCTGGAAATCTCATATTAGATATGTTCAGAACAAAATAGCAAAAAATATATCGATATTGGCAAGGGTTAGATATATTTTGGATGGGAAAGCACTATGCATTTTGTATTCCTCATTGATTTTACCATACTTAGGACTTAGGACTGGATAAGTCTGACTTCTTCCTACTCCGTTCAAGCATGTACTAGGTATAAGCACATTGATATTGGATTATGTGTAAAATTATGTGTGTTGCCATATCAACTGTTGTACATGGTTGAAGGAATAAATCAAATCAAATCAAATCAAATCAAAATCATTTCCCATTCTTCTTTTATGATAGTAATAGGCTTTTCAGGAATGTTTTTCTCTTTTTTGTTCCCAAAATGTGATGTTTAAAATTCCTAGATAGTTTCTGTGGTTGATAATGATTTTACAAAATGATCCTGTGTATTACCAAGTGTTTTGTTTGAAGTAACTTAACCATACAATCACTCGTTTTTATCATAACAATACGGTTTGTGTTTACAGACACATTAGAGTAATTGATTTTTTAAACAATATTACCATAACAATGAGAGTTTTTCCACTTGTGGTGATTGCCTGGAGTGTCTTGTGATTGTTACATTGATATGTAACAATCCCCCCCATTGTTTTGCCCCATTATGTATATCATTTTTGTTATTCCCAATTTGTAGTATAAGTGCTACAAATCATCACCAGAAGCATCAGTCTGTTCTGCCACCTGCAGAAGTGGAAAATTGGTTTAAAAGCAACAAAGGAATAGTTTACAACAAAATAATACAAATGAAACCAAACCCCCCCACTGCCACCTTTCTTTCTTCAGGTGTGTCGATGCCTATCCCAGTGATTGGCCTCCACAATGAAGACAAGGTCTTTGTCAATGGCAGCTGTGTCCTCAATGAGGAGCGCTTCATGCTGATTGGCTCCTTCGTGGCCTTCTTCATCCCACTGGTCATAATGGTGGTGACATACTGCCTGACCATACAGGTAGACGACGTGTCTGTGTGTGTATTTGTGGTCATATGCCTTAAAAATGCTGAAAATGTCCCTCTTCTTTCACACTGACAGCTCCCTGCCTCCTCTACTTGTTCTGTATTCCCTCCTTTGTAGGTGCTCCAGAGGCAGGCCACTGTCTTCCTATATGAGGCAAAGACTTCCTCCCAGCAGCCTTTGCACACACCAGCAATGACAAACACATTGCAGCCTCCATCCAGCACCTTCCACATCCCTCAGATCATCACACTTGCCCCCCCAGACTCACAAGGTAAACACTGATTGGTCTTTTAGCAGCTGAAATCTAGAACAGAAATATTATTTTTGCTACCATTTTCATATTTTTAGTCTATGAATGTATAGTAAATATATGAATTTATTCATAGGAATAAACCATCCACAATATCAGTGTTTATCTTTGCTAAATGTGTCTGTTGGTGTTTTATCATGTTTTTCTTCTTCCAGGATTTTAATTACTCAGAAAGCCTTAGAAAACCTTAAATCACACCAAGAAGAATTAGAAAGCAGATTGGTGGCTTTGCTGTTTGCTGCTCTAAAGTAAGCTACAGCCATTGATTAGCTCTCTGGCTAACTGCTTACTAACTACAGCAGTAAGTGAGTGTTCTTTCCAAGGCCAAGGAGTGAATCAGTATTTAACAAGGTCACATTAATTTGTGGGGTTATGTTAAAAAAAAATCTGTTCCCAACTAGTATAACAAATGCATGGTTCTTCCACGGTTGATCACTGAACGGTCCCTCTTGTGGCCCTCCCACAGAGCTAACGGCGCCGTCCCCTCAGAGCAGACGAAACACCCTGAGCTGCCTGAAAGCAGCAGAGCCCAGCATGCTGCTCAGCACCTCCACCTCAGACAGCATAAGCATCATTCCCAGCTCTGAGGTGGCATCTCAGCTCAGCTCGCCAGCCGTGGGCCATGGGCGGAGCGACACGCCGGGTTGCCATGGGCGACGGGGAATGATGCAGGCCATAAAGAATGAGAAGCGTGCCTCTAAGGTGAGAGCAGATCTGAGCCTTTTCATTTGATTTAAGGCACACTTGTTTCAGATCTTCCAGACAAGTGATGTAACAACAGTGTAGCGCCAGGGGTTCAACCTCAGCACTCAATTCATCCAAGTATCAAAGGCTGGGCTCTGTATTATCAGATTTTCACACTTCCTTGCTTATTCTTTGATCAGTTATTTGAATTTTTCCAGTTTTAGATGAATTTTTGTTTAGCAACATTCAGTCAGAGGTGGGACACAAGTGAATTTTTGACAATGAAACGCTGCTGTTATAACAGGTTAGTTGTCCTTTGTGAAAGTGGAAAAGGTTTTGTACAAATGCATTTCTGAAAGTAAAGTATTGAAAAAGGTTTTGCCCCAAAAACTCTATATAAAGTGTACATTTCAGTTAGGACATGTTCCATAGGTTTAGCCTTTTCATTTTATCTAAACAGAATGAATTATTATCACTAGGTCCTCTTAACTTTGCATCCGTCTTTCTTCTTCTTACCATTCTTCTCTTTTTGTCTTCTGTTTGTCTTTTCTCTTTTGCTGTCTCCTCTTCTCCTTCAGGTCTTGGGAATTGTCTTCTTCCTCTTCCTCATCATGTGGTGTCCCTTCTTTATCACCAATGTCACCTTTGTCCTGTGCCACAGCTCCTGCAACGAGTCACTGCTTCATGAACTGCTCAATGTCTTTGTCTGGGTGGGTTACATCTCGTCCGGAGTCAACCCTCTAGTCTATACCCTCTTCAATAAGACCTACAGGAGAGCGTTCTCCAGATACATCAGGTGCCAGTATAAATTTGGGGCCAATGCTGCCGGACAGAGTTGCAAAACCCTCCTGATCCCCCCACCGTGTCCGTCACATGCTGTGACCCCTCTTCTGATGGGCAGTCATGGGAAAGCAGGTGCAGGCCGCAGTAGTAACTGTCATAACGGCGGTAGGGGGGATAACGGTAGGCTGACAGTGGATCCAGAGGACACAACAGATGATGGGACACAAATTGCAATAGCGTCACACAGCCCCACCGAATGCCACAACATCGGCATGCTTTCAGAAACAGAGCCGGAAACGGAGTTGGAGCAGGAGCTGTCGCACATCAGCTACAGCTCCACTTCCAGGGAACACACAAGCAGCGTGTGACTGCACGCTTATTGTTTTCTGTCTTCTTCTTATCCTGTAGATGCCGGGCTGGGCAGCGTGTTAGTGGCCTGGTGCTCAGAGCTCACAGCCTTTTGGTTGGTTTCAACTGTAAACCTGAAGTGGGTACTCTTATTGTGAAAAGACTCGTCCTGTTTCAGGAGCCGTATCCCCACACAGAAGTGCACTACTCACATCAACGTGTAGAGAATTCAGAAGAGTTAACCTCATTTATTGAAAAAGTGGTTTTCATTTTGGAATGAAAACCAATATTTTACCTCTTTGTTTTCTATTTGTTGCCAAAATGTTGGTTTTCATACTATACTAGAAAATAAAGGCATTTGTTAGGCCTTTATTTCTATGTAACTGTCATCGGTCATAAATTGTGGTGTACTTCATGGGGACTAAAGTGCCAGTTGAGATCAGGACAGTGAAATGGTCAGTGAAGAGTTAACTCTCATTGTTAAATTGGTATGAAGGCAAGTGGCCCTTCATGGAGACCCACTGATGGAGACTACAGAGTCAAGCACCAACCGCTGAGGTCAAACTACGACTTCAAGCTGTCACACAGAGTCAAAATGCAGCCTAAACTCGGCAAACTAAACCAAATCTATTTTTGTGCCGGTCAAGCTTGACGGCAGCAGTCACACAGCCTCTCTGAACAAACCTTTGCAGCATGCATAGTCTAACTGCTCGGCTGACACAAATGGGATTTTTCTCCAATGCGTACTTCCTCAAGGCCACAGACTGAGTTTGTCCGAGAAGACTAAGATGAAGGAATGTACAACGACCACCGGTCTCCGGCGGACTCACAGTGCCATGTGGTGGCCACATGGCACAGAACGGTCACTCCCCTTGAACAGAACAAGGGGCTAATAGAGCTAAAAACATGGCGCAGGCCTTTGGTCCAGCCCCCCCCCCCCCTTTTTTTTTCTTTTTTTTAAACTGGTAAAAAATAAAATTTAAAATGTAAGGGAGCAATCTAAAACTACAAACTTTCAGGTTTGTAATAGGAGTGCATAAATGTTCCTTTAAATGAAGGAAAATCTAGAGATTTTATGATAAGTCATCAATTAGCCATCATCCTCACTGAGTCACTTTTATAAGACAATATAAATCTCTCTGGTGATATTGTCATTAAGATCTTCCTTAGTTGTGATCAAATTGCACTTTATAGTGGAATTTTGTGAATCAGTAATCAAGCGATTGAACCCAAAAATAGGCCACAAGTGTAAAAAATAAAAAAAATGTAAAAGCTGAGAATGCAATAGGAATAACACTGTCTTTCCATGTATTACACATCCACAGTAGACCAACCAGCTCTTACTGGTTTCATTGCATGCAACAAATCCATTTCAGTGCTGAAGAATCAAAGGAAATGAAGGAAAGGTTTTCAAGTTTAGAGTCAAATTAAAAAGACACTGATTGTACCTGTAAATACAGTTTTAAGCTTATTGCTTGGGTAGCTGACTGAGTATTTCCCACATCTAATGAATTGCCTACAAATTCAGTATATGCATCACAGAGATTGTTGTCCTACACTTGCAGTCAACAGTCGACAACCTATTTATCATTCTGTACATATTATCAAATTACCTATCAGCATATTCACGTTATCTAAATCTGAGCTGTTTGGTATTCAAGGCATCTCTGAAGGACACGTTTTTGAATGAGTAAAAAGTTTTCCCTCATTAATTGTAATGTTTTTAAATGAAGGATTTTTATTCAAGGCTGGCCGTTACCTCTATGATTTTCTGACATGCTACAAGTCAGAATTTGCGTAGACAGTACAATGACAGCCAAAGAGGGTGTTATTCATTGAGCTTTGGTTATAAATAATCTCCATAAGAGCATTACTGTCACATATATGCCCTGATGATGATTTTTAAGATGAAAAGCTTTGCAGTATGTCAGAGAATTGCAGTTTTGACCCTTAACCTGGAGGTCAGAGCCTCTAAATCAGAGCCTCTTGGATCTCTGACTGCTTTGCAATCTGTTCAGCCTGAGTCACCAGAACCCAGAGCGTGACTCAAAGGGCCAGTACCTTCAGATTCCATCTGTTGTATAAGCTGGATAGAAAGTCAATACACCAAGAGACAGAGCCCCGACTCTATCACGGCAGGCCAGTAGCTCTCACCGCTCTGTCACACTGAATTTCTTGCCCTCCCTCCTCCCACATTTGAACAACATCTGATGGGCACTGTGATTCTTCTACACTGCATCTCCATCAGCTAAAGCATGGTGGATATTGAGACTGGTGGCAAATTAGCAACAAATTCATCTCCAATGAGCTAATATAGTAATTCTAACTGAAATTGAAGCATATGCATTTAGTGATTTGTGTTGCAATTTAATAGAGGTAAATGTTCTTAAAGAAATATAGAAAATTTCTTAAAAGGGCACTTCACCAGTTTTACAAATAAAGTTTATTTTCCTTGTCAGATGCACGACTCTATTTAAAACAGCTGCATAAAGTCTTCTGTAAGCCTTCTTTAAAACTGGGCTAATGAAAGATGATTGAGCTGAGGAAATGTAATGTTTTAGCATCTAAAAGTTAAAATATCTCAGCTGTTTTCTTTTACTTTTTCTGTTTTTAGGACCCAACTTTCTGGAAGTGCAATACTAAATTGCTAAATGCAAAAAATTACTGAATAACCAACAGCTAATTTATTGGAGTTTTCCTTCTATCTTAGCAGTTATTATCAAAGCAGGTGTTACTTTTCCACTGTAATATTTAATTACATATTTCCTTCTACAAAAATGCAACCACTTGAATGTACAAACTTTATATCTACGATATGATCAAGGTCAAAGAGCAGAGGTCAAAGCCAGCAGTGGACAAATCACTCCCCCGGAGCCTGGGGTGTGCAGTTTTGCATACAGCTAGAATGAAACACAAGAACTGAGAGTCATGTCGTTCTGATTCTATGCGTCTCTGTATAATTTATCCACTGTTTGTATGCTACAGACTTACACAGTGGTCACCTGCACCACCTTTCTCTCTACAAGGAGAGGTATACATGAGCTAAAGCTGGCAAGCCGACGCCAAGGTTTGGCTTGCCAATATCCTGCATGTTTGAAATATTGTTCAAAAGGTCCTTTCTGCCTCACTCTGTCTTTCTGTTCTCTCTTTAATACTCCAAAGGATTGAAACAGCACAGGAAGGACAGAGAGAAGGGCTGATCAAAAAAATGCACACTGTAAACAGCATGCAGGCATTTCATCCTTGTCAAGATGCAAAATACACAACAATAACAACAAGGGTGAAATGGAGAAGAGAGGACTCTCTGAACTTAGCTGAATCTGTCATGTTTGATCCATCCAGGTGTGAGCGAGGAAAGCGCTACAGCCAGGCCAACCACCTCACTATGTCGCAATGTAATAACTATATGTTTCCCGTGTATGTGTGTGTACACCAGGCGCGGGTCCAACTGCTATCTTGAGATTGATTCAATAATTTCTCTGGGTTTTTATTGATTGTGTCTGGCACAATGGATTGAATGGGGTTGTCCCTGCAGATGGCAATCCTGTCCAGCTTGTGGGCCAGACAGATGAAAGCAATCACACTTAGAAAGTATTTGGAAGGATTTCAACTAATAATTCAGTTCAGGACTGGTGTATAGAACTAGCCTGAGCCGTTTATCGACAGAGTTTCACTGTAAAACATTTGAGGGGGGCTGATTTGGGGTTTTTCTCTCCACTTTTTTTGTTGCCAGGCAACAATGCATTATGCAAGAACAGTTTCAGAAAATGATGTTGTATATTGAAAATGGTTTAACTCTGTGAGATGTTTCATGCTCAAACAATCAGTGCAAGCTTAAAGGAGAAAACCAGGCAGAAATGCTTCAGCACAGTGGTGATGTGTACTAAATTCTACATTTCCTGATATATTTCATTACCCAGTAAAGATAATATGTATTTCCAGTGATCTCCACTTTAACATTTTGGGGGAGTGTACTTATTTGTTTTCTTGCCAAGATTTAGATGATTTCATGCTTGTGTGTTTTCAGTGGGACTAGCTGTTTCCCCCAGTTTCCCAGTATATATGCTAAGCTAACTAAGTACTAATATTTAACACACAGACATGACATCAGTTTTCTCATCTAACTCTCAGCACGAATGTGACCTACATACAGTATTTATCAAGATCTGCAACTGTTTTTAATTTTCTGAGGGCCGTCAGAGAGTGCAGGAGCAAAGTTTTCTTTCCATTAAAAACCTAACTACTTAGTGGTACATTTAAAATAATAACTCACCAAAAGAATCATGAGCCCTCACAGTGTTCAGATCTAAATGTAAAAAAATACCTCAACATGCTGACTTTTGTGAAGCATAACAACATAAAGACAACTTTTTCTCCAATAAACTGTTAGCATCACTGCTGCCTCTCCTATCTTCCCCAACACGTAACACTGTCTATAAACAGCTCTGAGAATAACCAGCACTGCAGGTTTGACAAACCCAGTGTACCCAAATGAACCCCCCTTGCATTAAACACCGACTCTTCAACCTGAGGCGTCAGCTCCCTTTGATGATCGTTGGCATTGACACGGATCAGCTGTCTGGTTTATCTTGCACTCTTGGGTTAGTTGTATGTGTTGAGCCTTCTTTTGTTATGCAGTCACTGTTTTTATACCATTTTAATTGTGAATGTTTGTCTATGGCACATCTGAGTTTATATTGATCATCGTCCACACAATGTATATTTTCTTTGTGTGTGTGTGTGAGAGAGAGAGAGAGAGAGAGAGAGTGTGTGTGTGTGTGTGTGTGTGTGTGATGCTGCTATTTATTTATTAAAATATTATTATAATGTGTGGACAGTTGTCTTATTTGTTCATTAACCACATTGTTAATGTTGTTTACTTTAAGCCTGGACTTTTCTCCAGTGGACCAGACTCTGCTGTAAATCCTTTTCTGAATATACCAACAGAAACATGTAACGGAACAGTGTCGAGGAATGCCTTAACTAACAGTATAGTGTTTTAAACATAAAAGTGGCTGAGGCGAAGTGAAATGACTGCATTCACTGGATTCCTCTCCTTCTGGCTGAAAGTACCCATTCACAGAGCAGCAGATCAACAGTGTTTCCCCAACAAGCATTCCTCTGTTTTGATGATAAACAGCCACACGCTTCACTGTGTGATTTAATAATAACAGTATAGGTCCCAGCCCCCTGAACTGGCTACTCATTCCACTCTGTTTTTATACTCCTTTCTACTGCAAACACCTGCCAATCAGCGGGAGCTTTTATCCAAAGTGCTTCATGAGTAGAGCCAAACCTGGATCTAATTAAACTCTTAGCCTCAGTTTCAATGTCGTGCTCTGCCCATTGAGCCATGCTGGAAACCCTCCTGATATGAGTACTATACCCACACTGGCAAAGTGAAGTATGCATTTTTTTTCCTGCTCAGCTTGATACAGATATGCTAAAATAGAATGCTAATAAAAAGCACAACCTGTACATTGAGTGTGATCATGTGATGCTTATATATACATTTTGTAAGTTCTTGAGAACTTGATTAGTTGAAGAGGCATTACGCATGATTTCACAAAATGACTGACATCTGTGCTTGGTTGGCAGGGCTGATAAATGGCACATGACTTAAAAAGCACAATTTTTGTAAGTTTAAAGAGGCTTCGCATGCATTTTCAGCTATTCATTGATGGATGACTGGGCTATAGGCAAGCTGAGGAAGCCTTTAAGGTAATGACTAAATGTACTATTACATCTCTACAAAATGTACAATATTTACATCTCTTATGTTGACATTGATAACTGCTGTAATTTTGGTAACTTATAGCCTACACAACACTTGCACTAATACTTGACTTTATTCATAAACAGACCATAGATAACTGCTCCACAACTTCTCAGTTTGGCTGCTGTTTCTACTTGTTACAAATAGAAGTCAATAAAGGTTACTTACTGCACCTTTACTTACTGCTCTTTAGTGTCATTTTGCTAGAGACCTGTTGTAAATACCAGATAGGAAAAGCATTGCAGGAAGTCCACATAGCACCACAAATAAGAAAGAATTGCAATGTGACAGTTGCTTACTGTATGTCTGCTTTGTTTTACTTTGTTTTCCTTGGAAGTCAATATTCAAAGCATTGTGGTTAGTAATCTGATTAGAGAGCTGCCAAAATATGAAAGTGAAACATAGAGAATACTAGATGTTGACCTCTATCTGCCCCTGTTATATTCATCAATTAAATGTGCACTGCTGGGAAACAGATTGGATTAAACTTGCTGCTATATTGCAGCTGAAAATAAAACAGAACTCATTTAAACTACTGAAATTAAACTACAAATCAGACTAGAAAGCTGGAGTGAGCCTAACGTACATGAATGAGTTTATAGTGACTTTTTGCCCTTTATGAACCTATCATAGTTTCACGGGATAATTTCAAAACTATTCCAGGAATAAATCCTTTAAATGGGCAATTTCACAGGAATGTAATAATATGGATTGCAATCGTTTCGAATGAATAGGTAAAGGGTCCCTTCTAGGTGGGAGCTCGATGAGATCAGCACCACGGACAGCGACACACACGCGGTGATTAGGGAGCTCGATGAGATCAGCACCACGGACAGCGACACACAGGGCGATGTGAAGTCGTCATTTAAATCAGCACCACGGACAGCGACACACAGGGCGATGTGAAGTCGTCATTTAAATCAGCACCACGGACAGCGACACACACGCTGCGGAACCACGACCTGCAGAAAACGTCGGGCTCAACCACGAAACGACAGCGCCGCTACGTGGTGAAGCTGGGAAAGAGCAAAATCGTGGTAGATAGTAATGCAGCATTTGAATTTCCATTTATTTATTTATTTAGGGCAGGACTAAAGTATTAATTGTGCGGATATACAAGAATAGGCCTGAGTAACCATCAGCAGCAATTTTATTTTTGAATGTTACTTGTAATGCACAAGTTTCACTTCCTCAAAGCTTCAAATAAAAAGTGGAGAGATACCTATACAGTAAATCTTACTGAATTTGTTGTTACCGTGCTGTATTGCTAAACAACTTAATGTGAGATCATTTGTTAATATAATCAAAAGTTTTCTTTTTCTTCTGTGTTGCATGCAAATAGAAAGACACAGATCATATATGCCAGCATTGTTTTTGCTTTTTACATCATGGAATGTCCTAAAACACTTTATTCTTATAATCCCATACTATAGCTGAAATTAGCATAAATGTAGAGAATATACCATAAATATTGTAGAGAGCATTTTATATTCTACTAACGATCTGTATTTTGCACACATGACAATCAATCAGAATGATGCCAGTAGATATTGTTTAGCCAGAAAGAAAAATATTTGGTGATTGTTTGATCGGCTGGAGTTAATTAATTAAAGCCAATGAGCCATAAATGTTTGAATTTAAGTGTCATATTCCGAGAAGTCTGCAACATCGCCCCGTCCACTCAGTGGTGCTCAGAGTATATGATGGTGCTCGACAGGGTGGGTGTGGTCTCGGCTATCATCGGCAAGGATCGTAGGGCTCCGGGTACGCATGCGCTGTTGCACCAGTTTGCTGCATCCCCCTGATTTGCTCGAGCTGACAGCTGCGTCAAGCTAGCGGAGGCTACAACTACAAAGACCGGCAGTTAAGGTATATAGCAAACGTTCAACATAAAGCAATTATCGCGCCGTCACTGTATGAGTAACAGTGTACGTATTAATGGGCATGGTGAGAGTAATGCGATGTTTTAGAGAGGAGCTCCGCTGTAATTGGCAATATAGACTAGCGTAAGGCTAAATGGGTGGCCTAGAAACAAATCTGTTCAACCTCACTTCATCGATTATACTGCAACAATAGTGTGACGAGTATAGAAAGAAAGAGAGCTTAACTTCAAGTTACACAACATGGCCTATAAATTGCACTTGTAACCACAGCCACTAAACACTAGTAAGATTGTGTAGTTGTTTTTTGTGGATAATATCAAGAGGCAGTTCATCCTTGTGCTGTTCTCCCAGTTCATACATAATGTAGGCTATACTGTATACACAGAGATGTTGACCACTGCTTTCAGACGCTTAGCCTACTTGCAGACCTTAGAGACTTTACATAAATGTGCAATAAAACCAAAACAGAATATTAATATAACGGTTTAATATAAACTAAGCTGTCATTCTTGATTAAATCCAAGATAAAACTAATAAATAAATATAAAAGACTGAATCGTGATGAAAATGACAAAAGAGAAGTAACATATACTCTGTTACCAATATAATGTTACAATTTGATAATATCCTGGGTACAAAGTTGTTTCTCGTAATTTTATTTAAGACCTTTATTTTGAAGTTACAATCGGAAGTGGCTTATTTTAAGGCTGTTAATTGACGCTCTTTTCAGGTGGACGGACGCTGCCTTGGAAACGACATAAATCCAATCCACGCAGCTGGGGTGATATCTGGGATCCAGTTTTGCTTACTTCAAAGGCTTCCGCTCTTCTCCCCCTCCTCTTCCTCATCTTCCTCCTCCACCTCTCTCCATCCAGCTCTGCTCCGCCGAACTGCAAACATGGACGGTCTGCAATGAAATGGGGAGCAGGGGAGCGCGACTGGGAAAACCTATAAATAAGCGAGAGAAGGAGGAGTAAAGCACGGCGACAGAAGAGACCGCAGCCAGGTAAACCTGACCGGATTTTAAATCGGATTTGCATGTGACAGTAATGGTGTGGGCACATGCCTCCTGTGGGGGCACGTATTTGGAGGGGGGTGCGTTTGTTATTGTTATTGCATCGCACACACGCAGAAAACAATGCACCCGCACAGACGGAGATGGAGCTGTATTGGTATTAATTAGAGCCTATTTATGTGCAGGCTTCAAACCCAATGCTCCGGTTGTTGCTCCAGTTTTTTTCCTCTGTAATCGTGACCGTCGTTTTCAACGCACTGGCCCGGTGTCCCTTCTTTCCGCCTGCAACAAAATGTCACCGGTTGGTGGAATGTGTCATAGGATTTGGCAGCGGATAAGCTTGGGGCTCTTTGGCGACTATGAAGAGAGCAACGGGCCTTTTACTGGGGGGGTGCAAAGATGAGTTTGTGCCAGGGATCCATTCTGTCTGCCAGTGCGGTTAAAATCACAGATTTCCATATGGAATTCGGTACAGAGATACAGAATGAAACCTTTAAATCAAATTTGTACCTGAAGGCCCCACACATATATTGTACCATAGTCTATAGTAGAAATCCCTCCCGGTATCTACAATTTTGGAGTTTCAGAATACATTAAGATGTACACTATGTATTCAGATTTATTCTGATGCTTAAAATGTATTATTATAGCCTATATTGTGGATATGGCATCCTGTATTGTGTACTTTTCTGTTTCACCTGTTAGCTTGTCACCACAAAACCGACCTAAATCAGGTGTGTTCAGTTCGTTAAATGATCTTAAACGGTTATGTACTTGCATAGGGCCATTTATTGTGGGTTTTAGCTGTTGCTGCTGCTCTTGAGTTTGCTTCTGTTGCTCTTCTAGTTGCAGCTTAGATTTGCCGTTTGTTTCCATTTTGAAATCTGAAATGTATAATGGTCCAAGTATTTAAAATACAGGGCAAAGCAAGGAGAAGTCAATTACTTTTCTGTCTGGATTTCTGTTAAACCTAAAACAAACACAGAGAGGCCCACTAAGAATTAAATGCAAGAAATTAATTAGACGTTTTCAAAGCAGTAATGTAAAATGTGGGTTCCGGAATATTGTAATGGACCATTATCAATACCTTAAGTGACTATTTAAATTATCATTACTGGCGATCCTAATTCAGATATGATAACTAGTATTTCTTAACTAGGCCATACATTTCATAGTTTAAAGGCTGTTTGGCCTTCACTGTCATATATTTACTTCAGTAAACGGGTTTTTCTTCATGTGCAGTTGAAACAAAATGAACTTTTCTGGTGTGAGTTCAGATCAGTTTAAAAAGTTTCTGTGAATGATCATAAAATTCGCTGCGACTGCATCTCGGCGACAAACAGCTGCTGATGAGAGTTGAGGGCTCCATTAGATCTTTATGGCCACCGTGGCCCTAACATTCCTAAAAATATAGAGGGCTTCACAGCCAAACACAACAGCAGCCGTGGCTGTTGTGAAAATTTATAGGGCTACCCAAATTCTAACCCTCTCTCCACTGGTCTGAATCCTCATGAGTTTGAGATGTGCTGCAGCGCAATAAGGGAGAAGTTGCAACTGATAAACCAAATATAATGACTAAACTGGACTGTACATACTGTACGTAGTTTTGGGCAGCACTTCCAGTATTCCTCTTGCATTGCATACCTTGACCTCTGACCCCCCGTTACAGTGAAGCATCGTGGAGAGTTTTTTCTGTATTCATTTAATCTGCTGCACAGCACATAGGGAACGTTTTTACATGGATGCTTACCACATAAACTGATTCGTAGTTAGTCCTTCTGTTTTTTTAAGTTTCTAATGTTACCACTGTGCATGGACATACAAGCCACAATGTGAATCTGACACAACACTAATAGTAGAAAGATGTGAAGACTCTGTCAGCTTAAACTGTGTGTGCATTGAAATGACCACAGCTCCAGCCTTAACAGATGTATTGAGTTCTCTCTAAGTCCTCTAAGTCTAGACTCCAGCCTGTGTGAACAATGATTAGATAGTAGGTTTCCTGTGTGTGTGTGTGTGTGTGTGTGTGTGTGTGTGTGTGTGTGTGTGTGTAGCAGA